GTGTACGACATTTCACACCCAAAGGTACTCATCGACATAAAAGTCGCATTGTTCTTTAATAGTCGATTCTTCTTTCCTCTTGTAGAGTGGGTGACTATACGATATAAATGTCTTCTCCCTCTATTTAATTTTTCCTACATTTCTCGTGAATATTTTAAAAGTTTAATTTCCTAAAAGGTCTACTTTGTTGTGTGTTTTTCCATTCCTTTTGGCGCCAACTTGTATCAAAAGTTATGCGTATTTGAAATTCAATATGCTTTTGTGGTCCTATCCATAGTGAGAGCTCAAGTTTTTCAAGAATTTGATATTTTGAATATGTTCTGCTGATTATGGGGTTTTTATATCCTTAATTTAAACCAATTTTTGATTGTTTGATTAATTTGTTAATGAAGGCAAGGAGAGCGTTAAGGGCACTCAAGGGCTTGGTTAGGCTTCAAGCGATAGTTAGAGGCCACATCGAACGAAAGAGGCTGTCGGTCCATTTGCGCAGGATGCACGCTTTGGTTAGAGCTCAGGCTCGTGTCCGTGCCAATCGGGTTATTGTCACGCCTGAATCCTCTTCCTCTCAATCCAACAACACAAAATCTTCTCACTTCCAAAACCCCGTAAGCTTGGTTAAATCCCTTAAGTTTGTTCTTGTTTGTAACCTAAAACATGTCTTTAACAATTCTGCTTATCCGTTAGGGCCCACCAACGCCGGAAAAACTCGAGCATTCCATCTCTTCTCGCAGCTCCAAGCTCGCTCATTCTCATCTCTTTAAGGTATTACATTTTCAATTTCTCTGTGATTCTCAATTTGTTGCTTATGTTCCCATTGGTTTGAAATTTCGGGTTATTGGACTACGTAAGTTACTAACATTGCTTATGTTCAAAACAAATCTCATCTCTATTATCCATTCTACATTTTGTTATCATTATATGTAAACATAAGAGATTGGATTAAAATTTTCAGAGGAACGGTTCTAAGGCAAGTGACAACAACAGACCGTACACTCACAGAGAGACATTCTCAGCCACGGGCGAAGAAGAAAAGACCCTTCAAATCGACAGGAAACACAATAATTCTTACACACGACGCAGACCAGACATGTTCTACTCATCCCACCTCGTCCTAGAGAACAGAGGCCTGTCTGAACCAGTTTACGCCATGCCTTTTAGCTCGTCGTCGTCACATGAAGAGACCGGAAGCCAGTTCTGCACTGCTGAGAACAGTCCTCAGTTATACTCCGCGACAAGCAAACGCAGTGCTTTCACGGCTAGTTCTATTGCGCCGACCGATTGTACCAAAAGCTGCTGTTACGGGGACCATCCAAGCTACATGGCTTGTACAGAGTCCTCTAGGGCTAAGGCACGGTCCGCTAGTGCTCCGAAGTCGCGACCGCAGTTATACTACGAGCGGTCTTCGTCCAAACGGTTTGGATTTGTCGATGTGCCATACTGTGGTGATACGAAGTCAGGTCCCCAGAAAGGCTCTGCTCTGCACACAAGCTTTATGAACAAGGCTTATCCCGGTTCAGGTCGGTTGGACCGGCTCGGGATGCCAATTGGGTATAGGTACTGAATGACGCTGTTGGACTGGTTAACCCGGTTTTTTTGTAGAACAGTGGATTGAGCTTCGCTGTTAATTTTCTTGGTTTGTAGTTTGGAGTTCAGTGGATTATTTAAATCTAATATGCAAATAGGACTTGCTTAATCATAATGTTGACATCTATAATGGTTATTTACCAGATTGTACCTCTTTGTGTACTTTCAATTTTTTTTTTTATGAGCTTGAAAAGGAGACCAGGACTACAATGGAAAGAATTGATGTAATCACAAAACAAAAGTGAAAATAATCTAACACTAAGAAAAAAGGAAAATGTCATGTCCACTGAGATTTAGAGGAGTAGCTAAGTTTATGGCACCACTTACAATATCTATTCAAGTTCTCTCCTCCGAAGAGTATCACCAACCCTGACGTAAACC